GCGCGCCTATAACACGTTTTGGGGTGATACTGAGTGGTATCTGCTAATTCCATGTTTTTCTGTAGCTCTACACGAGCGGTCCTTGGCTCTTGGACAACTCTACTGATAATTATTTTCAGTCCGCTGTCTGAAATCGTGTGGGGAGCACCCTGTTGTGTGCCTTCTTTTCTTCATATCAGCAATATTTTTCCCTGTCTCGTTATTTTACGGAGATCTATGGTTTGATTTCTTTGGATGTGTGGACTGGATGGGTTGTCATTGACATCTGGTGAGAATTTCATCTTAACAGCACCTTTAGAAATATATTTACTTAGGAAACTGGTGACATGTTCAATACTTATTTTACCAGCATTAAGTATAACAAAATCAAGATTTCAGAAATCAGGGAAATCTGTGACTGAGAACCAATATATTACAGTATATAAAACATCCTTTCACCAGACACTCACCTCAGTCAGGTCAACTGCTGCAAACTTGGCAGTGAATGTTAAAGTATCGATGGATGAATCGACCTGCAGAGGTTTAGTGTTATCAGAAGATGCTGTGGACGGCTCTGCTTCACGCTCGCCAGTCTCTTGTAGTGACAGCACTGCTGGAGATGACAACTTGATGTCCGGCACCATGTCTGCAAACAAATCCAGCTCTGGGTCTTGCTCTACCTTTGTCTTCACCCTTATAGTAAACTCCTCCCCCAGACCTACTGAACTACTTTTTTGTGGCACTGTAGGTTTGGACTGGGGGTTTAAGGGCTTATGTGATTTCTGAGAGTTCCTTTTCTCTTGAGCCCAGCTATTGTCCCATAAGGAAGTGGCCTCTGTCTTTGTTGACTGCCGCAGTGTTGAGCTCAACTTAAGGGGTTTAGAGGAACCCAGTCTCAGTGGTTCAGGGCCATGTTTTGAAGATGGGGAAGCAGCGCCCCCTTTGGGTGGTGCAGGGATGACTGAGTCTGATAAAGGAGCTGTGGGGGAGAGATCCGGGGTAGGTTCAGTGTCCTCAAAGTCATCCCACGGCTCCTCGTCTGTGTTCTGATGTGTGATTGCCAGGCTGCTAACTGGATCTGCGCCCTTTGAGGCCTGAATGTGGATCTGGACCGAATGCCCATCTCTATTCTCACTATCAGGGTCACTCCAGTCAGGCCAGTCTTCCACAGTGCCTTCTAGTCTGTCAGTCTGCTCTGGGCTAGAAGAAAGTTGGTCCATCTCACTGTCCTGATGAAAGCCATTCAAAGGCAGAGACATCTTTCTGCTAACATCTGGAATATACAAAAAATAAATTATACAATGAACCTTAAATAAATGAACTAATTCATTTGAATTAATATCATGAAGGGAGTTTCTTACCCGATACTGGCTTGATAACCCTTGGTGTCTTGCTACCCGTGTGACCGAGGACTAAGCCTTCAGTCCCTGATGGTCTAGGGAATAAATTCAGCACTTTGGAGGGTTGGGCCATCTGAGGGTGGAAACTTCCAACTATATGGACAGGTGAGGCTAAAGAATAAAAGTAAAGAAAGATGAGAGTAGCTCACTTGACTGTAGTTCTTAAAGGATTACTAGAGTGACATTTCAATCTCCAAATCCAGATTTTCTAGTTTGAACTGGTAGTCTGACTAAACTAGTAATCTTCTTTGGACGAGACACGGCATGCTAAACACACCTCTACAAAAATAGGACTCATTTACTACTACACACTGCTGCAGGAATGCTTCCATATAAAATGTTCTTGTAATGGTTCCTGGTTGATTTTTAAAGATTACTTGTAAAATGAAGCATTTTATTTAGTAAACTCTGTATGATGCCAGACCTTTAATGCACAATCAGGTTCTGTGCACCACTTTTATATGGTATAGCTAAATTCTCAAAAACAACAAAAGCCTCAGTTTATTTGATATACGGTATCAATAATGTAAATGTACTCTATATACAGTTAGGTCCAGAAGGTTTTGGAATTTAAATAATTTTGCTTCTATACACCACTGCAGTCTTTTTTCATGCAATTGAAGTGCTGAAGGTTTTCACCTTTAATTCAAGGGGTTTAACTAAAGTATTGAATTAACTGTTTACAAATTGCATCTGTTTTTAAACTATCCCCCACTTTCAGAGGTTCAAAAGTAACAGGACTAACAACCAATTTCATGGCCAATTGAGGCCTGTTTTCTCATTATTTTGTGACAAATTAAGCAGATAAGAGACAGGAGAAATTCTCAATATGAGATCCAAATAAATACTGATAAAAGTAAAGGAAGCCATCATTAGGCTGAAAACCAAAA